CTCAGCCTGATTTGTGAATCTCCTGGCATCCCTTCTTGATGAGGAAATAAGGACAAAAAAAATGCCATGTTCTTTCAAAATTCTACCAGGGATACTAAGATAGAAGGGTGGGATCTAGTGACACTGGCAAACTGAGGGTGCTTGGGCTATAGCAGAAAGAGATAATATCAAAAACAGTCTTTGAAGTGGATTTTAGCTCCTTTCTCCTAAAAGTTTTTTGGAAATTTGAATCACAAAAAAAATCCACAAATTTGAATTTTCAATTTTGCCATCTGAATGCATGAAATTTGATCTAAAATATAACATCACCTGATACTCAAGATTAACTCTAGTTTTGGGTGGGCTAACCCATTAATACATCTTAATTGTACCACATGGAAAAGTGATAATAACCTGCATTCTCTTAAAAATTACAGCTATATTCTGCCTGGTTACTATTTTTTTTACTAAGAGCAATAATGCAAATGCTAACGTGTATATTTTAGAGTTTTCTCTGCGATTTGCACTTATTGTTGATAACAGTTTCACTATTCAAACGTAAGACTATGTAACCTTAATGTCACATTAATTAATTCTTCATAATTTAGCAAGTCTGTTCACATGGGGATATTTAGTAAAATTGTGATGGCGCCCAACTCCAGGCAAAACATTTGGTTAGGGGAAGAGTGCAGGGAGGAGTTATAACCTCTATCATTGCTGTCTGTGTCTCCATAGGAGAGATTTCTCATAAATTTCTCTTATTTTGAGAAATTCCAGAAGAAGAAATGTGAAATTTCCCCTAAAGAAACAAAGACAACAAAAACACTTTTTTTTCTAGTAGACCTGGAAAATGGTGTGCTTGGTATCTCCAGTTTGCTTGGTTTCACAGAAAATCTCCCTGAAGGTTCACCAGCAGCAAAAAACATCCGACCAAAGTACTAACGTTTTCCTATTGTAATCAAAGCTAAAAAAAATTACTGTACAAGACTGTTCAGAGCTGTGATTTCCTATGCAAATTGCATATCTAGAGGTTTATTCCATTTTACTTAATAGAAACCAGGCATATTCCCTGTAGATTGTCTAGTGTTTACTAGCGTTTCAGTACAGAAATACTTTCCAACATTGCATTTTGATTTGTTCCCCCCTGACAATGCATTATGTAGTAAATGACCTGTATGAAGCCACTACTTCTTGATTCAAGACTTTTTCTGCAGCAATCTAAAATTTCAGAAAAAAATCTTTGGATGCTAGATTCTTTACACATGTTACATTTATCTGCTCACAAGAAACAACCAGTATACCAACCTGAATCATCTTCTAACACTATCCCTAATTCTTCCAATATTATTTTCTAACTCTGACGCTTAAGCTTGCCATACATGGATCTAAATTCAGCTGGTTCAGCAAGGACCAGCCACATTTTGATCCATATGTGAGCACACTGGTTGAACAGAAGTCAATTTCCTGATCAACTTCTGTGCAATCAGCCTGTCAGGTTTTTCCCGAACAATCATTGCCCCCGGCTGTGGCTGGCAACACTGGTCAGTGTGGTCTGATGGAGGGGAAGTCTTCACACTGTCAGAACACAATAGTGATAGTAACAGTGAGAGTAATTCCCTCATCTACCTTGAGTGTGTGGATGGGCGAATCATGTCATTTTTTTTTTCATTCAACCTGCTGTTTGAACAAAAAAACCTGGATAATGTATGGCCAACCTTAGTCACTAACAGTACTGATTCTATGAAACTCTTGTGATGTGGTGTGAAAAAATGCACTGTCCATGACTATGAACAATAAGAATGATGACTTTCGATGAGGGCACCCCCCTCCCTCCCATCCAAGAGCCAATTAATTAGTGTTTGTATGACAGATGATGGCACCGAGCAAGACTGCAAGAGTGTGCCAAGTGCCAGGACAGTCTGAAAATGGTGACTGATGTGCCTGCAATGGTCACTGTGAATTGAAAATGTTGGAAACTGCTTTGTGTGTACTGACAAAAAGGTTTTGGCCTTTTAGATTGAACGAATTGACTTGATCATTGTGGAATCCTGGTATGCACAAATCATTTTACAACTTTTTTACCTGTTTGTTGAGGACATGTTACCTAAATATAACCATTCCTTTTGTGTAAACTTCTGTCAGGTATTTATTGAGGTACAATACATTTGCTTTTGATAAAGTAACTACTCATGTCATATTAGCAAAACAGAGTTACCTGTGATATTTCGTTTTAACTGACTTTGACCTTATAAGTGAAGCTCATACAATCCCCAGTGGCCTTATTAACCTCTAAAAATGCATACAAGGTTGATAGTAAGCCATGTGTGGATAATTATGCCTATTTCTCCATGCAGCATATTCCACAGATCATTGGTTTTCCAAAGCTATTAAGAAATCTTTTTAGTCCCGCCATTTAACCTTACTAGAGATGACAAAACCCAAATTTGAGAAAGGTATTGCTAAGTGGCTTGATACAGGTGAGGCAAACTTAATTTTATATGGTGAATCAATGATCCTCAAAACATTTTCTTGGCTGTGCGTGTCTTTTGATTGCCATTTTTTAAAAATGGATCCATCATAAGGCAATCATACCTTCAGCATCCCTTCCACAGCTTCACCATTCTTATTTGGCTCAATGTTCATTGAACAGGTTACACCACAAGAAACATCTTTTTACATTTGTCTGCTATATTCTCAATACTATGTAATCACCTCTCAGTCATTTCTTCCTACCTGTAGCAATTTCAGAGATGGCCCAAATATTAAATATTATTGAAAATATAGAGACAAAATCTCTCAACAAAATTAAAGGAACACTTTTTAATCAGAGTATAGCATCAAGTCAATTAAACTCCTAGGATATTAATCTGGTTAGTTAAGTAGCAGACAGAGTTGATAATCAGTTTCAGCTGCTTTGGTGTTAATGAAATTAACAACAGGTGCATTAGATGGGCAACCATGAGACGACCCCCAAAACAGGAATGGTTTTACAGGTGGAGGCCACTGAAATTTTTTTCCTTACTCATTTTTTCTGACTGTTTTTCACTAGTTTTGCATTTGGCTAGGGTCAGTGTAACTACTGGTAGCATGAGGCGATACCTGGACCCTACAGAGGTTGCACAGGCAGTCCAACTCCTCCAGAATGGTACATCAGTAAGTGCCATTGCCAGAAGGTTTACTGTTTCTCTCAGCACAGTTTAAGGCTAGGTTCACTCTAATGCTGTGCAGTACATCGCATGTGATTCACACAGGAACTGCACCGCATTCCTGTGCAAATAACATGTGATTTGTGTGCGGTGCGATTGGAGCCATACATTATGATTGGCTCAAATCGCACCGCACCAAAAAGGTGCAGGATCATTTTTTGGGTCCACACTAGAATCGGATCGCAAGGGTATTCACACCTATGCGATCCAATTCTGCACAACGCATTGCGTTTTGTGGACCGATTTCAGGGTGTTGTTAACTTAACATACACGGGGTGCGATTCTGATGCGGTGCAGAATTCGCACAGAAAAAACTGCAAATTCCGCAGAGCATCAGTGTGAACCCAGCCTCAAGAGCATGGAGGAGATTCCAGGAGACAGGCAGTTACTCTAGGAGAGCGGGACAGGGCAGTAGAAGGTCCTTAACCCATCAGCAGGACCCGTATCTGCTCGTTTGTGCAAGGAGGAACAGGATGAGCACTGCCAGAGCCCTACAAATTGACCTCCAGCAGGCCACTGGTGTGAATGTCTCTCAGAAACAGACTTCATGAGGGTGGCTGAGGGCCCGACATCGTCTAGTGGGCCCTGTGCTCACTGGCTGGCACCATAGAGCTCGATTGGCATTTGCCACTGAACATCAGAATTGGCAGGTTCGCCACTGGCGCCTTGTGCTTTTCACACATGAGAGCAGGTTCACTCTGAGTACATGTGACAGACATGAAAGGGTCTGGAGAAGCTGTGGAGAACATTATGCTGCCTGTAACATCATTCAGCATGATTGTTTTGGTGGTGGATCAGTGAGGCCTGGAGAGGCATATCCAAGGAGGGATGCACAGACCTCTACAAGATAGACAATGGCACCCTGACTGCCATTAGGTATTGGGGTGAAATCCTTGGACCTATTGTCAGACCCTACGCTGGTGCAGTGGGTCCTGGGTTCCTCCTGGTGCACGACCATGCCTGGCCTCATGTGGCGAGAGTATGCAGGCAGTTCCTGGAGGATAAAGGGATTGATACCATAAAATGGCCCCCATGCTTGCCTTACATAATCCAATAAAATAGCTCTGGGATATCATGTTTCGGTCCATCCGACGCAGTTTGCACATTAGACTGTTAAGGAGCTTAGTAATGTCCTGTCTGTTGTCTCATTAGGAGCATGCCCTGATATTGTCAAGCATGCATACAAGCACATGGGGGCCATACAAGCTACTGAGTACCATTTTGAGTTGCTGCAATGAAATTTCAGCAAAATGGACTAGCCCACTGCATCATTTTTTCACTTTTTTTGGGGTGTCTTTGAATTCAGTCCTCTGTAGGTTGATAATTTTCATTTCCATCAAATGATGGGGCATTGTTATGTTCCTAACACATTACCCAGTCCATATCAGTATAGATATCCAGCATGATATTTTTCCCCATTGAGATCTGATATGTTTTCAAAGTGTTCCTTTAATTTTTTTTGAGCAGTGTATATTCACCATTATCATTCTAACTGTTCTGTTGATGTTTTTTGATGCTGCCACACACCGGGAGTTACCATATTTATGCTCCATAAGACGCACTTTCCCCCCCCCCAAAAAAAGGGGGGAAAATGTTTGTGTGCCTTATGGAGCGGCCAACCCAGTATTCTCTCCGTCGCTACCGCTGTGTTAGAACACAACGGGCCGGCTGCTCGGCTCTGTACAGCAGAAACTGCAGCTCTTCAGCGGTCCTATCTGTTCCTTTGTGCAGCGATGTCCTCACCGTCTTCTCTCCCCGGTGCCGACATCTTTAGTGTGGGCACCTGCCTGTGAAAGCTTGCAGCTTCACAGCCGGGTGCCCACTGTGCATGAGCGAGAAGTGCTGCACTTTGTGAATGGCCCTGTAGTCTTCGGGGTCCTGTCACGTGTCCCACAAGACTATGGGAAGGGAGGGGGAAGGACAACTCTGCTGAAGTCGGAGTGGGTACCTGTCAAATTTGGGTACCCGCTTCCCTCCCTCTGCTCCCCAAAGGTCCGCAGTCTCTGGCCGTCCCCTGTACTATGTCCGCAGTCTCTGGTCATCTCTTGTACTGTGTATCCAGTCTCTGGTCGTCCCCTTTAATATGTCCACAGTCTCTGGTCAACCCCTATACTATGTCCGCAGTCTCTGGTCATCCCCTGTACTATGTCCGCAGTCTCTGGTCATCTCCTGTACTATGTCAACAGTCTCTGGTCATCTCCTGTACTGTGTCCGCAGTCTCTGGTCATCTCCTGTACTATGTCTGCAGTCCATTGGTTCAGAATATTTTTTTTTTGCTTTCCTCCTCTAAAACCTAGGTGCGTTTTATGGTCAGTTACATCTTTTGGAGTCAAAAATAAGGTATTTACTAAAACTGGCGAGTCTATGCAACTCTGCATAGAAACCAAACAGCTTCCAGGTTTTATTGCCAAAGCTTAACTGAACAAACAGAAAATAGAAGCTGAAAAAATACCATGCACAACTGCACCAGATTCTGAGTGCACAAGTTTTAGTAAATCTCCCCCATAGTTAAAGCAAAGATAAGAAAAATCTGTTTTGTTTTGTTCTTCTTTATTATTGGCCTCCCTGACAGTTACTTATGGTAAACCTTTTGCTTCTGTGATGTGATACTGCTGTATCCTCGGAATATGGTCTATAAATGTATTCTATGTTTGAATTCTGTATGTTTCTTTAATTCCAAACAGGACATGTCAGCAGATAATGTTTTGTGCTCTTTGCTTCTGTGCCACTCTTATCAGTTATATTGCTCCCAGTCTCTATAGACTACAAAACACCTCAATCTATGTTATTGTGAAAAGGACAGGGACATATTTCTTTGTAGTCCTGTCCTAGGGTGACAACACTGTTCCCCAATAGATATGGTACAGTAAGTGAATATTGTACCTTTAGGAAAGAAAGATGTCACTGATAATGTCACTGGTAGAATCACCAGGAGAAAATAAATAAAAAAAGAAAAACATTGTAGCCAAAGCATGTAAAAATGAATAAGCTGCAATCTAATACATTTTTGTTCTTTACTTTTTTGTGCTTTAAGACATTAACAAAAATGCTAGGGAGGTGACTTGAAGAGCTGATGATATGGTAGCTGGCTCCGTACAGCCTCTTTAAACATGTGCTCATTGCTTTGCTTTTTTAGATAATTGTTTCATAGTTGCAGCTCACCTACAACTATATTTGCACCTGATTTATATAGACATCCTCTGAATTAAAGCCCAACTCAAATCGTTTTTATAATTTTGGACAGAGTGGGAAAGAGATATAACATCTGTCTGGGTTATATAACTTCTTGTGTTCACAATGGGATGACTTTCCCTCACTTTCGTTCCCAGAAAGTACCAACATAAGCTGAAAACAATTTCAAGTAAGTGCAAAGTTCCCTAAGTGCAAATTTCCCTAACAGGACACAAATTCCCTTGTGCACAATCCAGCTAGTTGGCAGAAAAAAGACTTTCAACAGTGCAGATAAAAATATTGCAGTTTTTTGTTGCATACATTTGTGAATACATAAGAATAGCAGTAAAGCCTTGGCAGATGTTCTGATCCTTCTCTGTGCTACTTAACAGGTGCTTTTATTGCTGTTTCTACTGAAAAGATTTCCCCTTATTGATAGGAAACATGTGTGGGAAAATCTTTTGTGTGCACTGGGACATGGACAGTAACAAAAACCTAGCAAAAACAGAAACAGAAAGCACTTCAGGTACTTCTCCCAAATTCAATCAAAATCCCAATACACAAGAAACCCCTCCCAATACACAAGGACCCTCTCCTGCTACCTTCCATGGCTTTCTCAGGCACTCCTGTCCCATGGGGGAAGCCAAGAATGCATTCAGAGGCTCTGCCTGCTGACCATAGAGCTGATCAGAGACCAGAACAGCTCTGATCATTTCTTTGGTCTAAGAAACCGGAAGCAATGACCATTTCATCACTTCTGGTTTTGCCAGATGTAAACGTCACCATTTTTAAATTGGAAAACCATCTGATCACACCAATCTTGGTGTGATCAGTTTTTCCTAAGGGCAGAGAAGAAATTTGGGTTTAATATACCTCAGATTTCTCAAGAAAGAGTACCTGTCACTGCCTATTGCTATCACAGGCGATATTTACGTTCCCTGTGATAACAATAAAAGTGATAAAAAAATTAAAGATAAAGATACTGTAGATAAGATAAATAAATCAATAATAAATTTGTTGGTAAAAGTGTATTTTTACCAACAAATTGCATTTAAAAATGCTGCACAAATGCCATGTGAGATAAATAATTGAAAAACCCACTTTTTATTCTCTGTGGCCTTTGCTTTAAAAAATATATAATGTTTTGTGGATCCTATGTAACTTTCTAGCAACAAATACTGATATTTACATGAGAAAAAGTGTCAGAAAAGGCATGGTTTTTTCATGTGGTTAGAAGAGTGGGTGATGTGTGACAGAAGCTTCTAATCTTGGGCATAAAATGCCAGGATAGCACAACTTCCTCCATCAAATGACCTCATACACCCCAAGCTATTTTCTGAGAGGTATATTGAGTGCATGAAAGATTTGATTTTTTGCCACAAGTTTGGCAGAATTTTTTTTTTATTTAATTGTTGAAGGCCCCAAAATGCCAGAATAGTAACCCCCCTCCAAATGACCCTGTTTGGAAATTAGACACTCCAAGGTGTTTACTAAGAGGCATGATGAGTATTTTGCAGATCTCAGTTGTTGCCACAAGTTTTGGAAAATTAAGAAAGAAAACAAAAATGTATTTTTTGCTTTTCTTATTTTATTTTTCAAAACCTTGTGACATAACATGACAAAATACTCACGTTGCCTCTTATTAAATTCTTTGAGGTATCTACTTTCCAAAAAGGGGTAATTTGGGGGGGGGGTGCTTATACTATTCTAGCATTTTAGGGCCTCCGAAACTGTGATAGGTAGTGAGGAAGTGACATGACAAATTTACGCATCTTCAGGCTTTCAAAGGGGTCATTGGATTTTGGGTTTCTTATGCAGCTAGGCTACCAAAAAGTCTCACACATGTGGTGTTTCCATACTCGGGAGAAGTAGCAGAATGTATTTTTAAATGTAATTCCACACATACCCATGGCATGTATGAGCAATAAATAATTTAAGTGACAACTTTGTGTAAAAAAAAAAAAAAAAAAAAAAAGTCATTTTCCAGAAATTTGTGGCAAAAAACTAAATCATCCATGGAGTCAACATGGCTCTTAGCAAATAGCTTTTGGTGTCTGCTTTCCAATAAAGGGTTATTTGGAGTGGTTTTGTACTGCCCTGGCATTTTAGCACCTCAAGAAATGTGATAGGCAATCAGAACGTAAAAACTGTGTAAACTCCAGTATATATACCATAGTTTGTAGACGCTATAACTTTCACACAAATCAATTAATATACACTTATTGGGATTTTTTTTACCAAAGACATGTTGAAGAATACATTTTGACCTGAATGTATGCCAAAATTTGAGTAAATAAAATAAGTAAATGAAAATATAATTTTTATTCAAAATTTTCTGTCTTTTTTCGTTTAGATTGCAAAAAAATTAAAAACCCAGTGGTGATCACATACCACAAAAAGAAAGCTCTATTTGTGTGAAAAAAAAAAGTATATACATTTTGTTTGGGTACAGCATTGCATAACCACACAATTACTAGTTAAAGTAGCACAGTGTCAAATTGCAGAAAATGCCCTGGTCGGGAATGGGTAAAACATTCCAGAGCTCAAGTGGTTAAATAGAAATCAAGACCTCCTTCCTCCTGCTGGTGACCTATCTAGTGATGCATCCTGGAATTCTTTTCACTTTTCCCATTGCCTGTCCACATTGTTTGCTCATTTTGCAATCCTCTGAAATAGGTACCACAAATCTTCTTCCTCTGTAGTACTGGCCAGCACTGTACCCCCCAACATTGTTCTCTGTCAAGGGATTCACTTCCTGATTATTTTACATTTAGAAACATTGAACTGCTGTTTCTACTCCTTCGACCAATCATCCAGCAATACCAACTCATGTTCAATGTTACAGACACCTCCAGGTATATCAACCTTCCTGCACACCTTTGAATTATCAGCAAAAAGATGATACCTTACCCAACAACCCTTTAGTTACAGTATATCATACATATATACACATATCATTACATATAGATTAAAAAAAATAGGACCTAGTACAAAGCCTTGTGGTACACCACTACTGACTGGTCTCAGCTCTGAATGAACTCCGTTTATAACCATACATGAAATCTATCCTTTAGCCAACTGCATATCCACTTACCTTTTTATGAGATCATTATATAGAACTGTAACAAAAGCCTTGCTGAAATCAAAATAGACTATGCCACAGCACCACCCTGATCAAAAACATTGGTGATGTAGTAAAAAAATAGTTTTGACTAGTCTGACATGATCTGCCCTCAGTAAAGCCATGCTGCTTTGAATCCAGCAAGTTGTGTGTTTTTAACGTGTTACTATCCATGACCCTACATTCACTATATCTGGTCTCCCACAGTACACACAAAATGGAAATGCAATTATTTTAGTAAATATAAACTGCTAAATATCTTTTCTCGGCAGTATATAACAGTCTTGTAACTTATATCAGTGTCCAGCTGAGCACTGGTTAAATCTTGTAGGAGGTGTTTTCCGTCTGCTCTGACTGTCCTATGAGGTTGCATAATCCCTGACCCTCTGTCTGGACAGTGCTGATTGGCCCTATGCTGATCACATGCACCCTCCCAAAGAAAAAAAAACTCTCTAGCAAAACACACCAAACTGAGCATGTGCAGAGTGACTCTGTACTATCAGCAGCTGGATTGGGGACAATAGAAGGGTAGGATCAGAGAAGACAGGATCAAATAGCCTATTGCACAACACAGAAGATTAACTCCTTAGGTTCCACAGTGAGAATGAGAAGCATGCTTTATTGCATATACAGACTGATTTTACTGTTGTGGGTTTAGTAACACGTTTAGTGATTGATGATCTTTCTTTTCAGGGGTGATTCCATTAACTTAACTGCAACAGATGTCAAAAGATATGTAATCCTTCACCTTGTAAAACAAACCATAAAATAGAAAGGTAGACATGAAAGGCAAAAGATTTGTGTATACATAGAAAAAAACAATATAAATACTTTTTTCCCCTTTTTTTGTAAGTGATCACTGTG